CCAAAACATGACGTATTGCTTTAACAGTTCCATACATCATAGAGTACAGCCTTGGCTCTTTAAATCTCTTAACACCAGAGGTAGTTGAACTCCATCAGGAACTCGGCTACTAGAGATCTGAAAATACAAAGAAAAAACAAAAATGTCCGCAGAGAAATGAGTTGAGGAAAAGGCGAATGAAAATTAAAGAACCTCCACAGAGCGTTCAGAGAGTCAACATTTTATTTCTTGTTCAACATCATCCATCTGGATAAGAAACAAACTGAATTCAAGATGTCTGCAAACTTTTACGAGATGAAAATTATTCAATCCTTAAATAACAAACACACTAGGCACCTTTACCACATCACTCACCACTTCACATGCATCCCATTCAGATGGTGTTGGGTTCCTTAGGTAATGGAAGTGAAGTTGTGAAACATTCTGAGTGATACATTGAGTAACAAATAAAATTAGACCTTACAGAAGTTTTCTTCTTGAAGGTCATCAGGAAAATCTCCTGCGGGGTTCAGTAGAAGTGACTGAAATGTAAGGATGTAGCGAAAGCCTCCTCCTAGTTCTTCCATCCTTTCTATGTGATCAACATCTAACCTTGCAAAAACATTATATTAAAAGGCTAGAAATTCAGAATATTCAGTTCTGTAAAAAACCCACAAGAATATGTACGCTTCCTCGCTTTGAAAAAGTACTCCCTGATTTCCAAAAGATGAAAAAATACTCTTGACTGAAAGCTAAGTGTAAAGCTCAAAATATAATGTATATGTGTAAAGAGGGTTTTGGCCATATATAGCAAAGGAAATAGTACACCTGAGACATTATAACAGATTAGTTACATAACCACAAAACAAGATGAACTCTTGCTAATAAGAGAAAATGCACCATCAAAGTGTAAGCATTAAGATACAATTCGGAGAGAAGAACTAACATGTAGAGCACACATGCGCATGAGCATATTAATAAGATGAACAACTAGCATATTCCAGTTTCATAAACCATTATCCATCAATGTTCACATTCTTCTAGCTTCTTCAAAGATTGTCTTCTATAAAGAAACATCCAACAATTTTCCAGTAATTACATGTAACATTCAAAATAAGATTTTGACCAAGAGACTTGATACTTTTGCTCTTTAAATGACGACGTGAAACGTCTTTGAAAGCACAAAGTTATTAAAGGAAATTTACCAAAGCATTTTAGTATATTCTCACCAAGAAACATGGTTTCCTCCGCTCTATGAAGAGCAACTCAAAGACTCTTCGAAATAGTTGGCCTGGTAACAGTCACTTACTACTTGACACCTCCATTTTGCATCTGTAAACAACATAAATTATCTCATTAGTGCATCTTCGATGGTGGTTGACATTTAAACTAAATCATGAAATGGTGTGACTATAAATATTGCATATGCCAGTTCTTCATGTGTAAGGAACAAGTGGGTTATATGAGCAGTAGGCACCTGACCAGTCTGAGGATTAACAGGACAAGATCATGAAAAAGAACCAAGTACTCGATTTAAACAGGAGAAGACAACTTTCTCCTTCTTTGAAAGACAAATCACAGTTTGTTTAGATTTCAGAGGAAACCATCCGCGAGGATGATAAAATTTGAAGTACAGCATGCAGAGCAGTGACTATGTTGACACAGTTACGCTTGCTCTTTACCTGTGTCTTAACGAGCATGCTATCCATAAAATTAGAAGAACCCATAAACACAACAAAATTTGGTGAAGATGTTGACATAAAATCCTCTAAATGTTCACAGCAAATTTAAATCAACAATTGAACTCTATACGAAATCATTAACCTTGGGCCTAGAAGTCGAGCATGAAAGCTGGCATAGATGATAAAGCATATTTTCCAACACCTGGAAATGTAAGAACTCGAACAATATGTTTCACGTAAGGTCACTACAAAAGCTTGAGATATTGATATGTGTAAAAAATGCTCAAATACCTTAGCTATACTCTGATCAGAAAACATACCACACATGATGCAATATGGTGCCTTTGAGCTCGTTGTGATGGTCTACCAGTATTGAGTATGGAAAACTGCCTGCCATTGTAATATATGCATTCTTTCCCTCCAGATAGACACGAGGAATCATACACATATTCAATATATACAAAGGCGTTATTGTCCAAAAAACTCAAACTATTAGCACTAGTGGTAAAACATGGAAACTGTCTACTTACACGTTTTTAGTCCTAAGATAAAAGGCATGTTTATAGTACACATTGTAGGTTTCCTTCATTTGCAAGGAATAAGTGGATTATATGACCAATATGAGAATTAGGTACGACAAGATCATGGAAAATAACCAAATATTCAACTTAAACAGGAGAACACAACTTACTCCTTCATTGAAAGACAAACCACAGTTTGTTTCTGATCCCTGAAGTAAAACATGCAAAGCACTGACTATGTTGAGACAGTTACGATTGAGCTTCACTTGTGTTTTAAGCATGTCAACCAACAATGCCATGTACCTACAAAAAACAAAAATACATATCTGAGTAACAAGAATGGGGAAATTCAGTCAGATTCACTGATCATTTATTTATAAATCAAATGCGCACAAGTAAGTTTCTGAAAGAACCAGATTTTATACACTCAAATTTCTACGGGTGCAACATTTTAACCTGCCCATGGGGTTAATTCTCCTCTATATTAATTATTTGCGAAAATATCAACCCATAAAAGTATCACAAGACCAAAAAGCTAATGCGGAGAAGAAACATACCTCAATCAAAGATTTTCTCACATGAACCAATAGATGATAATGCTTGCTCTCCCCTTTGGGTTGAAAGAATTCCCTAAGACAAGGAGAAAAGAATATCTATATGAAGATTCTAAAACAAAATTTGCAAACAATTAGCCTTTCTAGACAAGAGGCAAGAAAATACGTAATAGATTCTTGGAAATAAGTACAACCCTTAGAATGCTTGACCACTAGGAAGGTGATTACACATCTTTTTCTAAAAATATGACAGCACATCAGGCAGAAATATTCATAACTTTCATGTGCATGGTAGTAGATTACTAAATTATCAATCAAGCAGTGACTAGGTATAAAGATGAGAACGATAAGAGCATAGCACGAGTGTGACGCACATGATACAGCAGGTTAGAAAACAGACCCGAAGGATTTGAGACGTTGCATCAGTAATCTTTACAGAGTCATACAAAATATACTTCTTTAGAAATTTTTTCAGCCAGTATGATAATGCGAATTACAGTAAAAACTCTTGACTTTTGATCATGCATAAATAGAGCCAACCTCCCCTGGAAGATGGAAAACAATAGTGTTGGGGTCCCTGGCCACAAAAGAGAATAAGACCAGATATTCAAATTTGCAGGGCAGAGACACTGACCACAAAAGACAATGACAGATACCCTGGAAAGAAAGTCTTACACCAACAATCTCATACTATATGCTTCATCTGAGGAAGACAAACGGATAAGTGTCCAAACAACATTTACGCTTTCATCATCAGAATGCCAAAACGAATCTGCAGTTTCTTTTTCGTCTCTTCTTGAGAATCTTCAAAAGCTACAAGCTTGTTGTGCAATGCTTGGAGACTGAAAGGACATGATAAATTGATAAAACTGCAGCAAATTGATAAGGGTAGAGAACTAATGGGTAGTAGACTCTCCACAAATGGTTCATTTAGCAACCAATTTTGTTGCTATCAAGGTAGAACCAGATCAACAAAGTTGAATCAAAAATTCTTTGCCTTCTAAAATTATCTTGTAAAACAAACACCTAAATTCTTTAAAACAAATAAAAGGAACCATACTCAATCTGAATTCTACAGTTGGCCTCCCAAGCAAATTAGGGTAGCCTTAATGCATATATCAACATGATTTAAGTCGTGAAAGATAGAATGATACCTCCAGGTACAGAATCTCGGTGGAAGATAAGAAGATCTTTTAGCACACTGTTGTAGCGCTAAAGGAAAGAAACACAAAATTGGGTAGTGATAGTATTAGCGCAATGAAATCATTAAAAAATGCAGAGTGCTTGACCTTCAACAGATTCTTACTAGGAGAATAGGTTTCACATCCTGATGCGTGAGTTATGAATGACTTTTCCATTCCGGGGAATGGTTCCAAATCCTGAAAAAATAAACAAATCAACTACTCCGATATGGAAGGCAACTATATAGGTAGAACGCCTACTCTGATATCTTCATCAAAAGAAGAGTCTCAATTAGCTTGTGTAGCAAATTTACGAGTTGAGATGACTTAGAACCAGAAAAATTTGGAGTTTTTTTCAGCATAGATGCAGCATGTAACTAGATTTGAAATCAAAGACCAAAAGCAGGAGATAGCAGATAGAGAAAACTAAACAACTTTTTCTAAAAAATTGACAAAAATAAGAGCATTAACACAAACCTGGAGTTGGTCACCTAATACATTAACAATTTCTTTGGCCGGATTACAATTTAACAAATCCAGCAATAAAAAGCTATACTATAACACTGGTCTTGTAAAGAGGGAGAGCCGATAAATTTTCCAATAAGATTGAATATTAAACTGAAAGAGACAACAATTAAAGGTCAAAATAGTTCTTCAAAGCTCAGAAAAAGTAGTGTCACCGAATTTGTTAATTTACAAATGACAATCATGTTTATTAGCAGTTTCATAAATTGCAAAGTGTAGCCTTGGCCCTTCCATGTCTACTAAGGATGTAATCAATAAAAAAAGTATATCAACTAAAAATAAAAACTAATTACTCTCACCAAAAGAAACACTACGCAAAGCCACTGATCGGGGAAGATATTATGATATACAGTGACTTAATTTTAATAAACGAGTTTACGGAAATAGCAAAGCCTAATATGAAAATACTACACCTTTCAACGTCTACAAGATAGTTTTTACAACAGAAATGAACTCAAATGGTCAATATCATTGCTACATCAAATTTAATAAGGTCCGAAGGTGGTCACTTTCATGATAAAGAATTGGAGTACTACTAGTCAAATAACCAAATAGATAGATAGAGAATTCCTCACTTTAAGGAGCTCGGGACTGAAGCTTTATGACCAAAAATGATGACATGGAGATGACATTCTATAGTGTATTTATGTGAAGAATTATCAAAAACCAAAAAATATTGTGACTAAAATATCAAATTAATAAGAACATGGAAAAAAAGATTCGCCAAATGAAATATTTCCCATTATTCTGTCTGGGCAAACAACATTTATCCTGCCAATGACACCCTATCTTGGATAATCAGTGCTGCACAAACCAAGTAAAATGGAGTGAGCAAGAAGTGTTACGGTTCCAGAAAACCATCTACAATTGTTTGAACTGCACATGAAATGGTGTCACGAGAAAAAGCAAGAAATTGGAGATTCTGGTGACAAGGAAGCACATGATAAACCAAAACTAACAATACACACATGAAAGTAAAAACAGACCTTGAGCCTATTTAGATCCGTGTGCTAGTGAAAACAGGAAATAGAATTTGAGCCTATTTACAGTACTACATGATTCAGTTATCAATTATAAATGCTCTTTGGTTAAAAAGTATATAAAACATATGAAACTCTAACGAACAAAAGGATATAAACAAAGTACCCATGAGTAACTTGAGTGAAAAGGCAATGTACCCGTCAGAGAAAAGAATCATCTATGAAACAGAGAATACAACCTCAACAAGAGCAGCTAAACTGACACCACATGCAATCCAGAAAAAGACGATCGGGCGAAAGAGTTCCTCCAGCTACTGCACAAACCAATTTAAAAAGAGATGGAGATGATGTCACCAAGATAGCATTTACAAGGTTCTGAGATGATTAATGTAAGGTAAGTCAGCTCATATTCAGGGAAGAAAATGCAAAAAGTGAGAAGAACACTTATCTGTACGGAAGAGTTATAAAGAAACCCTTGAGCCTCTTTCTGCTTTTTGGTAAGCCACAAAAATCTGTACAAACGAGAATCTAACAGTTGGTCTTCTAGGAGAACACCCTACTTAAAAAAGGCATAGGATGACAATAATTTTAAATAAACAAACACCAAACTTACCAAATATCTTGGAACAATGCCTCATGACCATCCCATGTCTGAAATGAAAGC